CTTTCTTAAACTATCCTGGGTTTCTACCAAACTTGGACAGAGGCTTGTTTATGATCATAAGATAGTATCCAGAAGTAAATTTTGTATAAAAAAAAATCCATTTTTTCCTTATTTTACTTTTAAATGGACTTAGATTTTCTGCCAGGAAACAACACATTCAATCTGTGGTTAAAGTTTTTAAAATTTTAATAACTTTCTTTTACTATTTTGGATTTGTACCAATCTTGGACAGAAGCTTGTTTATGATCTAAAGCTAGTATCTAGAAGGAAATTTTGTAAAAAAATAAATCCATTTTTTCCGTATTTTACTTTTAATGGACTTAGATTTTCTGCCAGGAAACAACACATTCACTCTGTCGTTAAAGTTTTTAAAATTTTAATAACTTTCTTATACTATTTTGGATTTGTACCAAACTTGGACAGAAGCTTGTTTATGATCAAATGCTAGTATCTAGAAGGAAATTTTGTTTTCTTCCAATTAACATTACATTCAGTCTGCAGTTAAAGTTTTTAAACATTTATTAGATTCATAAACTATCCTGGATTTTTACCAAACTTGGACAGAAGCTTCTTACAATCAAAAGATAGTATCAAAAGGAATATTTTTATTGATTTACTTCCTCATTTTTGTTGCGCCTGCGATTAACAGCAAAAGTAGGCGAGACACTGGGTTCTGCGGAACCCTTACAATTTTTTTTTAAGTTTCTGTAAGAAATGGTAGTATGAATATCTTTTTTAATACAATTAGCATTTTTTTCTTTTCTAGTTAAACATACTGGATAATGATCACTTATTGAGAATTTAGCAACATGTGATTCTAGTATCAAATCCTTATTGGTGACATAAACATGATGAATTAGTGTACTAGAATCAGGTGTAACTCTTGTTGCCTCTTGGATTATCTGGTTGAGATTATAGGTTTCTAATAAACTTAGCCCATTTTGTGGTTGTTTATTAGGTTTCAAAAAATCTATATTAAAATCACCAACTAAAATAATATCTGTATTATGATTGATGGCAGTTGTCATTTTTTAGCTCACCTGGCCCAAAGGGCCAAGTGAGCTTTTCTCATCACTTGGCGTCCGTCGTCTTCGTCGTTAACTTTTACAAAAATCTTCTCCTCTGAAACTACTTGGCCACAATTATCATTGGGGTATCTAGTTTAAAAAATGTGTCCAGTGACCCGGCCAACCAACCAAGATGGCCGCCATAGCTAAAAATAGAACATAGGGGTAAAATGTAGATTTTGGCTTATATCTCTGAAACCAAAGCATTTAGAGCAAATCTGACATGGGGGTAAAATTGTTTATCGGGTCAAGATCTATCTGCCCTGAAATTTTCAGATGAATCAGACAACCCTTTGTTGGGTTGCTGCCCCTGAATTGGTAATTTTAAGAAAATTTTGCAGCTTTTGGTTATTATCTTGAATATTATTATAGATAGAGATAAACTGTAAACAGCAATAATGTACAGCAAAGTAAGATACAATTAAGTCAACATGACCAAAATTGTCAATTGACCCCTTAAGGAGTTATTGCCCTTTATAGTCAATTTTTATACGACCGCAAAAAAATTTTTGTGGTCGAATATTGGTATGACGTTGGCGTCGTCGTCGTCGTCGGCGTCGTCTGGCGTCGTCCGGCGTCGTCCGAAGACACATTGGTTTTCGCACTCTAACTTTAGTTTAAGTGAATGGATCTCTATGAAATTTTACCACAAGGTTCAATACCACAAAAGGAAGGTTGGGATTGATTTTGGGGGTTATGGTACCAACAGTAAAGGAATTAGGGGCCAAAAATAAGCATTTTTGTCGAGCCTTCGACTTTAGTCGAAAAAGCGAGACATAGCGATCCTACATTCCGTCGGCGTCGTCGTCATCGTCTTCGTCGTTGTCGTCGGCGGCTTAGATTTAGATTTTCTGCCAGGAAACAACACATTCAATCTGTGGTTAAAGTTTTTAAAATTTTAATAACTTTCTTTTACTATTTTGGATTTGTACCAATCTTGGACAGAAGCTTGTTTATGATCTAAAGCTAGTATCTAGAAGGAAATTTTGTAAAAAAATAAATCCATTTTTTCCGTATTTTACTTTTAATGGACTTAGATTTTCTGCCAGGAAACAACACATTCACTCTGTCGTTAAAGTTTTTAAAATTTTAATAACTTTCTTATACTATTTTGGATTTGTACCAAACTTGGACAGAAGCTTGTTTATGATCAAATGCTAGTATCTAGAAGGAAATTTTGTTTTCTTCCAATTAACATTACATTCAGTCTGCAGTTAAAAGTTTTTAAACATTTATTAGATTCATAAACTATCCTGGATTTTTACCAAACTTGGACAGAAGCTTCTTACAATCAAAAGATAGTATCAAAAGGAATATTTTTATTGATTTACTTCCTCATTTTTGTTGCGCCTGCGATTAACAGAAAAAGTAGGCGAGACACTGGGTTCCGCGGAACCCTTATGAATTTTTGTAACTTCCAGACATAACTTGTGTGTTAGTGTATGGATCTCTCTGACATTGTACCACAAGGTTCCATATCACAAAAGGAATGCTGGGATTGATTTTTGGGGTAATTGCCTCAAAATTTTAGGAATTAGGGGCCAAAAAAGGGGCAAAAAACAAGCATTTTCCTAGTTTCATGACAATAACTTGTGTGTAAGTGTATGGATCTTTCTGAAATTGTACTACAAGGTTCCATATCACAAAGGGAAAGCTGGAATTGAGTTTGGGGGTAATTGCCGAAATGTTTAGGAATTGGGGGCCAAAAAGGGGCCAAAAATAAGCATTTTTCTAGTTTCCAGACAATAACTTGTGTTCAAGTGTATGGATCTCTCTGAAATTGTACTGCAAGGTACCATACCACAAAGGGAAGGTGAGGATTAAGTTTGGGGGTGATGAATCATAAGGGGGTTCAAAAAATTTGGGGGGGGGGGGATTTTTTTTTTTTCATTTTTTTTTTTCTTTTAAAATTTTCCATTTTAAGTTGGTTATTTCTGATTTATATTTAAAAGCAAATAATAATGATATGGTAGGAGATACACACCAAACAGGATGTGTAAATTATTATATAATAAGTATTGTGCAATAGCAAGAAATTTTCAATTGCACAGTATTGCACAATAGCAAGAAATCTTCAATTGCACAGTATTGCGCAATAGCAAGAAATCTTCAATTGCACAGTATTGCGCAATAGCAAGAAATATCCAATAGCACAATATTGCGCAATAGCAAGAAATTGTCAATTGTACAGTATTGCGCAATAGCAAGAAATATTTAATTGCACAGTATTGTGCAAAAGAAGATACTTCGTATAAATTGCTTATTTCTTGACCAATTTCAATGGGGTTTTATTCTTGAATTCTTGGGGTTCTTTAATATGCTGAATCTAACCGTGTATTTAGTTTTTGGATTTTGGGCCCCGTTTTTAAATTGGTCCACATTGAGGTCCAAAGGGTCCAAAATTAAACTTTGTTTGATTTCATAAAAAATTGAATTATTTGGGTTCTTTGATATGCCGAATCTAACCGTGTATTTAGATTCTTAATTTTTGGTTCCGTTTTCAAATTGGTCTACATTAAGGTCCAAAGGGTCCAAAATAAAACTTAGTTTGATTTTAACAAAAATTGAATTCTTAGGGTTCTTTGATATGCTGAATCTAAACATGTATTTAGATTTTTGATTATGGGCCCAGTTTTCAAGTTGGTCCAAATCGGGGTCCAAAATTAAACTTTGTTTGATTTCAACAAAAATTGAATATATGGGGTTCTTTGATATGCTGAATCTAACCATGTATTTAGATTTTTGATTTTTGGGCCCCGTTATCAACTTTGTCCACATTGAGGTCAAAAGGGTCCAAAATTAAACTTTGTTTGATTTCATCAAAAATTGAATTCTTGGGGTTCTTTGATATGCTGAATCTAACCATGTATTTAGATTTTGGATATTAGACCATAATAGGTGAATGTCCAATTTAAAATTTTTAAGTTCTTAGACCAGATTCATTCTGTGTCAGAAACCTATGCTGTGTCAAATATTTAATCACAATCCAAATGCAAAGCTGTATCAAGCTTGAATGTTGTGTCCATACTTGCCCCAACTGTTCAGGGTTCGACCTCTGCGGTCGTATCAAGCTGCGCCCTGTGGAGCATTTTATTTACAATTTTCATAAATTTTGTAAATTTTTGTAAATTTTTACAAAATATTTTCCACTGTAACTACTGGGCCAAGTTCATTATAGATAGAGATAATTGTAAGCAGCAAGAATGTTCAGTAAAGTAAGATCTACAAACACATCACCATCACCAAAACACAATTTTGTCATGAATCCATCTGTGTCCTTTGTTTAATATGCACATAATAATAATAATAATAATAATAATATAATAATAATTCTTTATTTAAAGAGGGTTACACAGTTAGCTATAAAACTAATCTTCCCTGAGACCAAGGTGAGCGACACAGGCTCTTTAGAGCCTCTAGTTTTTCAAATTCATCAATCCAATTAATTAATGAACTAGGAGGTCTGTATACTGAACATAATATAAATGATTTTTTGTGAACAGGTTTAATTTCAAACCACATTGTTTCAATGTCACTTATTTCAAATTCAGTTTTTCTAACAAAATTAACTTTTTCTGAAAAATAAACAACCAAACCACCTCCTACGCATGATGATCTATCTTTTCTGTTTAAAATAAATCCAGGAATTTGTATAAAATTATCCTGGGTGTTCCTGTCCAAAAATGCTTCACAACAAAGGTATATATATGGAGGATTTTCAGAGAACATTAAATTGTATTTGATTTCATCTAGCTTGTGTTCAAGTCTGTTGACATTATGTGAACATATTTTTATACCCTTCCTTAAAGAAAAGTCATAAACATTATCCTTTCCTTCAGATATTTCTTGTAAATGAGTTAATTCATAACAATTATTTATTAAGGCAAATAAACATAGTTACAGTTAACATTGTATGATATTTTATTTATACAGGTGTTGAATTTAATGAAGATGGAGCAATCATGACACATAAAGGCCTTAAAATTTGTACCTATCAACTACAAGAGTTGGTGCTTGGTGCCTTAAATCAGTCTATAGCAGGAAAACTAGTCAAATCTGTCAATATACTAAGGGACTCTTATACAGGTAATCTTAAAAATGTAAAAAATAGTGTTCATTATGTATCGTCACTTTCTTTATTGACATATGGGTTTTCTATCGATCTCAGTTATATAAATAATTTTGTAGAATTACATTGTACTATATATTTATCCTGTAGTATGGATTCATTGATTTTTGTGGATACAAATTTTTCCTGGATTGAGGAAAAAGTGTAATGGCAGGATATTTGATTTCGTTGTTTTGCCAAACTTTTAAATTTCTAGTTTAACTTTAACCACAAAATCCACGAAAAATTGGCATCCCATCAATAGAAATGAATACACCGTTGATAGAATACAATATCATTTGATTTGTTTTGATTTTACAGAGAAAGATGTGTGTATGAAAAGTCCATAAATTCCTATATCATCAGATGATCTGTTTATGGGACAGTCTCAAAACAGGGCATTCGACAGTAGATTAAGTTAAAACAATGTAATTACGCTGAATGGACATCAAATTTGGACATCTTTAACTTTTATCACGAATGAATCATAAATACACAAAAATGTATAAAGATAAAAGAGATAAACCTCTGAAGAGAAGTGCAATGATTTATCGAATTTTATCCTTACGTTTGTTTACCTAACATGTATAAGCATGGTTAAAATAAAATTATAATGTATTAGTCAGCTTCAAATAATGATTTAAAAAATAATAAATGGTCCACTTATAAATTTAAGAATATTGCTTTTTATTTATAAACATGTTGACATCATGGTTAACAAACTTTAAAAAAAAAAATTAGTCAGACTTGCCACATGGAAAAAAAAATATAACAGTACATTTGTCATAGAGGTTATGCAATGAAAAACTGACCCAGGCTTGCCCCATGGAATAAAAAATAAAACAGTACATTATCATAGAGGTAATGCAAACCATTGTGAAAATCAGTATTTCTGAAGCAACCTTTTAAGACTTTTTTTAGTATTTGAATCTGTTTTTCTGCATTTTTCATACTGGATATTGTTAACATTGTAATGCTTTTATATTAAAATCATAAAGCAAGGGAAGAAGAGACCAATTTTGCAGTTAAAAACCATAATTCAAAAATATAACCATTGCCATTGAAAATAGTAAACAACTAATAAACAGTCCATAAAACTTAAGATTGAAAAATTCATGCAGGCTAGAAGGGTAAGGAGGTCTTGCTTGTGACACCATTTGTCTTGATTATGACAGCCAAAAGCTGAAACAATTCTGTGTATCTCTGGGCATTGCTGAAGGCTACGTGCTAAAGACTCTCTAAACATCTAATATGACAAACTCTCTAGATAATTGATTCAAATGTGTTTTGAAAGGCTTTGAGCGTGTTGAGACTAAGTATGTATGAGGGTTTGGATGGCGGGTCCTTCAATTCTGTAATCTTTAATTTTTTATGCCATTTTTGTCGAGCCTGCGACTTTTGTCGCAGAAAGCTCGACATAGGGATAGTGATCTGGCGGCGGCGGCGGCGGCGGCGTTAGCTTACTTCTTAAAAGCTTTTATATTTTAGAAGGTGGAAGGTCTGGATGCTTCATACTTTGTATATGGATGCCTCATGTTACGAAGTTTCCGTCAGTCACATGTCCAATGTCCTTGACCTCATTTTCATGGTTCAGTGACTACTTGAAAAAAAAGTTCAGATTTTTTGTAATGTTAAATTAAAGTAATAGGATAACTATATTTGGTATGTGAGTACCTTGCAAGGTCCTCATGCCTGTCAGACAGTTTTCACTTGACCTCGACCTCATTTCATGGACCAGTGAACAAGGTTAAGTTTTGGTGGTCAAGTCCATATCTCAGATACTATAAGCAATAGGTCTAGTATATTTGGTGTATGGAAGGACTGTAAGGTGTACATGTCCAACTGGCAGGTGTCATCTGACCTTGACCTCATTTTCATGGTTCAGTGGTTATAGTTAAGTTTTTGTGTTTTGGTCTGTTTTTCTTATACTGTATGCAATAGGTCTACTATATTTGGTGTATGGAATGATTGTAAGGTGTACATGTCTAGCTGGCAGGTGTCATCTGACCTTGACCTCATTTTCATGGTTCAGTGGTCAAAGTTATTTTTTTGAGTTTTGGTCTTTTTTTCTAATACTATATGCAATAGTTCAACTATATTTGGTCTGGGAACAGTATAACTAACGGGAAATGAATCTGATACGCTTTTCAGTATAAAATTGATAAAATCTCGGACTCCATTAGACTTCCCGAGATTTACGGATTTTGGTAGCGTCTGACTGAAAAAAATCAGAACTGCTCAACAAATAAACCACATAACTCTAATTGTAAATAAATACAAGTTTTATCATTTAGAAGATATATTTTGTCATATAAAATTACCAAAATAAGTTTGATTTATTTGATGTGAAGTGTTTTATAATAGATTGGGAATTTGTAAATCATGGCCGCCATTTTTTTATTACCTTGTTTGCATTCTGCACAATTCTGTGATGAAATGCTTGCGATTTTAACAAATTTGAAGTGACAGAATACAAGTTTGATACACTAGCATCACTATAAAACTAGTTTGAATGACATTTTATTGATAATATCAGAAATTATTAGGACAATAGCGAGTCCGTTTTTAACACATGTCCGTTTCTGTATCATATCTTTATTAAAAATGGCACGACGATAAAATCGACTACAATCAGGTAGTGTCAAGTCCCGTCAATATATATGTTCCTGATTTGGTGTATGGAAATATTTTATGATCTAGTTGTCAGTCACGTAGTTTTTTTTTTACCTTGACCTCATTTTCAAGGTTCATTGCTCAGTGTTAAGTTTTTGTGTTTTGGTCTGTTTTTCTTAAACTATAAGCAATAGGTCATCTATATTTGTTGTATGGAAGAATTGTTAGCTGTACATGCCTGCCTAGCATGGTTCATCTGACCTTGACCTCATTTTCATGGTTCATTGGTCAATGTTTAGTTTACTTGGTTAATGTTAAGTTAATGTGACAGTTGTAATAAAGCTTTATATTTAGGACTATCAACATAATATCAATGATTAGTAAAGAAGGCGAGACATTTCAGCGTGTGCACTCTTGTTCTATATTCTTTAGTAATTTTGTTCATTATTCTCTATACTTTATATTTTAGCACCCTTAGTATTATTCTTTATTTTTTTATTTTTTGGGCCTGTTTTTCTCTTTTCTTTATATTTTTTATATGTTTCACCCATTTTTCTGTAATATTGACCCATTATTCTCTATTCTGTAATATTGACCCATTATTCTCTATTCTGTGATATTGACCCATTATTCTGTAATATTGACCCATTATTCTCTGTTCTGTAATATTGACCCATTATTCTCTATTCTGTAATATTGACCCATTATTCTCTATTCTGTAATATTGACCCATTATTCTCTGTTCTGTAATATTGACCCATTATTCTCTATTCTGTAATATTGACCCATTATTCTGTAATATTAACCCATTATTCTGTATTCTGTTATATTGACCCATTATTCTCTATTCTGTAATATTGACCCATTATTCTCTATTCTGTAATATTGACCCATTATTCTGTAATATTGACCCATTATTCTCTATTCTGTAATATTGACCCATTATTCTGTAATATTGACCCATTATTCTGTAATATTGACCCATTATTCTGTAATATTGACCCTCTATTCTGTAATATTGACCCATTATTCTGTAATATTGACCCATTATTCTCTATTCTGTAATATTGACCCATTATTCTGTAATATTGACCCATTATTCTGTAATATTGACCCATTATTCTCTATTCTGTAATATTGACCCATTATTCTGTAATATTGACCCATTATTCTCTATTCTGTAATATTGACCCATTATTCTGTAATATTGACCCATTATTCTGTAATATTGACCCATTATTCTGTAATATTGACCCTCTATTCTGTAATATTGACCCATTATTCTGTAATATTGACCCATTATTCTCTATTCTGTAATATTGACCCATTATTCTGTAATATTGACCCATTATTCTGTAATATTGACCCATTATTCTGTAATATTGACCCATTATTCTCTATTCTGTAATATTGACCCATTATTCTGTAATATTGACCCATTATTCTCTTTTCTGTAATATTGAACCATTATTCTCTATTCTGTAATATTGACCCATTATTCTCTGTTCTGTAATATTGACCCATTATTTTCTATTCTGTAATATTGACCCGTTATTCCCTATTCTGTAAACCCCTTCCAGACCCTCATATATTTAAATCAAAATAAGAATGTTTTAAATTATCTTTTGAATTGGAATCAGATTATCTACATATTTTTTGAACAAACAGTTTGCATTCATTTTAGAACAAAATGTGTTCCTTTTTAGCTCACCTTGCCCGAAGGGCTAATGAGCTTTTCTCATCACTTGGCATCCGTTGTCAATATAACTTTTACAAAATCTTCTCCTCTGAAACTATTGGGCCAAATTTATCCCATCTTGGCCACAATCATCATTGGGGTATCTAGTTTAAGAAATGTGTCAAATAACCCCGCGTGCCAACCAAGATGGCCGACATGGCTAAAAATAGAACATATGGGGTAAAATGTAAGTTTTGTCTTAATTTGAAAACTGTTATAGATAGAGAAGATCTGACAAGGGCAAACATGTTCAGAAGATTGTGCTCAACCAATTGTTCATATACATCAAAACTGTCACGACTTCTTACAGGAGTTATTGCCCTTAATTAAATGACAAATTTTACCATTTTTTTTCATTTTTGCCTACCATCTTGAAAACTATAATAGATAGGGAGAAACTTTAAATTGCAAAATGATCAGCAAAACAAGTTCTACAATTAAGTCTAACATGGTTGAAATTGTCAGTCGGCTCCTTATTAGAGTTATTGCCCTTATTATGATGATTGGTTTTTTATTTTTGCCTTATATCTTAAAGTTTATTATAGATAGATAGAAACTTAAATAAGCAAAAATGATCAGCAAGACAAGATCTACAATTTAGACAATATGGAGGAAATCGTCCGATGA